GGACACCAACTTCATAACAGGACAGCAGTCAAGTGACATTTACGTCAAAGGGTAAGTGGATCACAGTAAACATAGACAATCTTTAATTATCTATAATAATTTTAATTATGTAATTATTTAGGAAAAAGTCTCCCAATATGTACTACCGTTCAAAAGTTTGGGGTCAGTAAGATATATATATTTTTTTTATTCAGCAAGAATGCATTGAATTGATCAAAGAATCCTGAAAAGAGTTGTGGTTTCCACAAAAATATTAAAGGGATAGTTCACCCAAAAATGAAAATTCTCGTGTGGTTCATCTTTGGAACACAAATTAAGATATTTTTGATGAAATTCGAGAGCTTCCTGACCCTCTTTGTTCTCGGATTTCATCAAAAATATTTTAATTTGTGTTCCGAAGATGAACAAAGGTCTTATGAGTTTGGAACAACATGAAGGTAATTAATGAAATAATTTTTTATTTTTTGGGTGAACTATCCCTTTAAGCAACACTTGACACCGAAGACTGGAGTAATGGCTGCTGAAAATTCAGCTTTTGCATTTGCATTTAAAAAAAATATATATATATACATTTTAAATTGTAATAATGTTTCACAATATTACTGTTTAGTCTATTTTTGGCCAATAAATGCAGTCTTGGTGAACATAAGAGATTCTTTCAAAAACATTAAAAAATCTTACCGACCCCAAACTTCTGAATTGTGGTACAGATATTGCAAAAGGAGAAGTTTTCTAAAAAAAAAAAGAATGCTGTTTAATATTCTTTACAGAGAACATCAGAGTTAACAGTAAATTCTGGTGAATTTCATGCTTTTTTTCAGGTGGTTAAAGGGGCTTGAAGATGACAGCCAGGAAACTGATGTCCATTACAATTCTCTGACTGGAGAGGGTAACTTCAACTGGCGCTTTGTGTTCCCCTTTAACTACCTTCCGGCTGAGAAAGTGGTGGTGATACAAAAGCGAGAAAGCATCCTCTCTCTGGACAAAACTGAACAGAAGATTCCTGCAGTCCTTGTTATGCAAGTGTGGGACTTTGAGAGGCTTTCTTCTGATGACTTCCTGGGTAAGAATCTCTTTTGCTTAACATGCTTACATTTACACCTGTTTTATATGCATCACGTCCTCCCTAGATCTGCTCTGTTGTCACTCCTGATGGGATTTGTGCTATATATACTTGTGCTGTATAGAGCTCACAGTCCCTCAGTAGCAGAAAAATACAATTATTCCTAAGAAACTTGGCTCAAAATATTTGATGTTAATACTTCATGAAGGTCATGTTTATGTGTCCATAGGCTCAGTGGAGTTGGACCTGCATGGGTTTCCACGTGGAGCGAAATCAGCTAAAGTTTGTAAGATGGAAATGCTGACAGAAACCACGGAGAACATGTCTATCTTCCAGCAGAAACGCTCCAAAGGCTGGTGGCCCTTCATTAAAGCTGGAGAACTCACAGTGTGTGAATTTAATTATTTCACGGAAAGAAAAATTGTGAATTAATCACTCGATAGCACCATATTTGCAAACATGGACAATCAAAACCTAACCTTTGACTCATTTATTCAAAATGTAATTGTTATCCATTTTCATTTGTTCAATACAAAACAATAGTAGGTATGGTATTGTTCAAGATTGTATTTACATAATCCTGACCTAATAAAAGTAGCATTTAAACTGTTTTCTTTCTGTAGGGGAAGGTAGAAGCAGAGTTTCATCTGGTAACAGCTGAAGAGGCAGAGAAAAATCCAGTGGGACGTGCACGCAAGGAGCCAGAGCCTCTAGAGAAACCAAAGTAACGAGACTAATACACATACACCTATTTTCAGATGTTTTTATTCATATTATTACTAGAGCTGTCAATTAAATTAAAAACATATAGGCCGATATCATTTGAAAAACATGAGACTGAATTGAATTACAGTACATGATATGCGTTTAAGGTAGTTCCACTGTATGTACTATATACTGTATGTGAATTATTTCTAATATCAAACGTTCACTTTTCTCTAGTCGTCCAGACACTTCCTTCTCCTGGTTTATGAATCCTTTCAAGTGCTTCTTTCACCTGATCTGGGGGAACTACAAGAAATACATCATTGCCGGACTGGTGCTGCTGATTGTAACCTTGTTTCTGGTTCTTATCTTCTACACCCTACCAGGGGCGATCAGTAGTAAGATAGTCAATGGGTAATCAAACACCCTGATTAAGTAACTGGACACAAATGAGCAGCACATATTTAACTTGTTATTGTTGTTGCTTTAATGAAGCACACATTTAAACGCTTGCTCTGCAGGTAGAACATAACTAACTTTGCTGATTTTAGGAACAATCTTTTATTTAATGTGCACCAACAAATGTAATACCTACACACAACATTACATGTTTATTCATCTTTAAACAGCATAAAACACTGAACATAGCACATGAAAACTGTAGAAAACAAGTGTTTAGTAATGACTTCCTACCTACAGATGGACTTTGTTCTACTGTAGAGCTTTGAAACTAGATAAATGATTATGAAGTGACTTTCAAAATGAGGGCAATAACTCAAAAATGAACATTTGTGTAAATATAGTGACATAAAACAAGCGACCACAACCCCAATGAGTCCATGTAATGTAAATTTGTGATTGTTGCAAAGGGTTAAAATGACTTTTATTCGTAGTCTTTGTGAAACATGTTGTGTATTGCCTTATATTGATACCAGAAATGATCCAAAAATTATAAAGTGTTTTATTCTCAGCTGATTGAAATGTCATTGCATTTCTCAGAATACTAATTAAACTGATTTTAACTGTAGCACTGGTAGTACTTTATGAAGTAAGAAATGTAGCTTTATGAAGTTCTGATTGAAAGACAATAAGTCTGAAATGTTAATGTAGTATTTCAGTTATTGAGTGTGCCTTTTGATCCTTAAAGCTCTGGCGCCGAAATTATTGAAGAAACAGTCACAATACCGTATGTGCACTTTTTTCTAAGTCACTGTGGTTTAAAAAAAAACAACAACTAATATCTGTAAGTGAATCATTAACCAAAACTGATACGGCTCTTTTACAGTTTTCCCCATTACTGAGACAGTAACTCTACTCGTAAGCATTTTATCAGAAAAATATTCCATACCTTTGCATACCAAAACATACATCAGCCACCAAAACAAAGACTAATTTCCAGAAACTATAAACAGCATTCACCGCTTTTTCTGTTAAACCACATTTGCCTGCTCACAATCAAACACACATATCAGCTTAACACAGCAATTTTGCAATGTGTGCTCATTCAGAAAGCACTGGCAAACTTTTTTGTTGGTCAACGAATGTCAGCATGGTTATTTCCAACAATGCCGTTTGCTAGAAAAATTTAGGCTACAAAAATTAACATCAAGGTATATTTTAATGAATGAACCAAATTAGTATTTCAAACCACCCTGAACACTGCAGTCAAACATACAGATGAAAAACATTTCAAGCACGTGAGCTAACATAACCAGGGCAGTCATGCTAACACTGTTTTCTAGGACAAATATCAGTTTACGCTGTGTGCAGAGCACAGTTTCTTCACCGATGACCACAATATCGTTGAAGAATATATTTGTACCTTTTAGTTTACATGTTAGTCAGCTCAGTTGACTTTAGAATGCATGTTATAGTGCAATTTCAGTTGTTTAATGTTACTAAATAACCAAAGAGTTTAATTTGGATTCAGTTTGCAAAGGTAAAAGTAGGGCTGGGTGATTCACACACACACAAAAAAAAATCTAATTAGATTTTTTTTTCAGAACGTTTGACCGATTCTCGATTCAAGTAACTTTTTCTTTATTAACCCTCTAGTTAAAGAAAATTATATTCAAAGTGCACCACACATGAAGTATGTATCAACATGTTAAATCGCTTTTTAAATATCTTTGCAGAAAAGATGAACGACAACTATATCTCGTACAAACTTGTCTTACATATTACATATATAACATACATATTATAATGTTCAGAAATAATACAAGGAAAATGCTTTAAAATTCTCGAAAGTCAAGGTTTTTCAAAAAATGACTGAAGGTATAACACCTGTAGACTGTTATTAACTATAAATATTCTGTAAAAACAATGAACAGCAGCTTTCAGCCTGTCACCATGATGCAAACATGAAATATCAGACATACAGTTGTAGTTCTTTAAAGCTTTTTAATTTAATTGCACTGCTTTGCCATGGTTTTTCTATGTAAACATGGACGCATATGACTTGCGCTCTTGACTGTTTGACTTACGGTCATTCACAGAGTGCGTCACACGTTTGGTAATATTTCTATTCAAAATCGAGATTTATATAAAAAAAAAAAATCGTGACAAAACATTACATTCGAATTAATCGATAAATTCGGAAAAATCTCCCAGCCCTATGCCAAAGTAAACATTAAAGGTGCTGTATGTAAGTTTTTGACTCTACTAAAGCATAAAAATACCATAATATGTTTGCAGATATTTAAGAAACATGCTAAGTTAACATACTTGTTTATCTGAAAAACAATGCTACAGTCAGTTATTCTCCTTTGAAAATGTGCGTTCCGGGCGGAATGTCGGTCTCTGTTTTGGTTTGTGAAACCCGCCCACTGCCAGTTTACCCAATTGTATTTCGGGACCCCAGATTGCCAGTTGGCGGAAAACACAGCGCATTTCATTTCAGTCATCGTCAAGTGCGCTCGTTCCTGTTGGTGTCGTCAATCTGGCAACCTGCGTGTGCGTCAA